TTTCTCCTGGTTATAGTCATAGATAGGAAATCACATTAGCTCAAAGCCAGCCAACCCTTTACATTACAAATTTTTAGTACTCCGGTAACTTTCTCTTTTCACTTACTGATGCAAAAAAGATGATTTGAAGTGTTGTGCAAAGTCAATTCCAAGTCGGAACTCGGTCACTACTGAGCTCACCTCTAGCATCCATGTGGCTGGATTATACCTCTCTTTAATTTTTGGCACTCCAGGAACTGCCTGCAACAGGTCATTGAGCATGGACTTGGATAATAATGCCTCGTTTACTTCCGTATAATATCAAGATAATGAAAAGTTCTAGGCAGGTAAGTACCTCAAAATATTTGATGATCTTGTGAGAATTGCGGCCCAATGGTCCTGAGTAGATCACTTGTCCTCCTCTCTTCACGAGTAGCAGCTCATCAAAGGCCTCGAAGATATCTATGCTAGGCTGATGAATTGTGCAGACAACTGTTCTCCCGGTGTCCACGGTATTTCTAACAGCCCTCATAACAATGGCAGCTGCCCTTGCATCAAGACCTGATGTGGGTTCATCCATGAAAATGATTGAGGGATTGGCAACAAGTTCGACTGCAATTGTTAACCTCTTTCTTTGTTCAGTGGACAACCCTGTAATTCCTGGAATCCCTACTAAAGCATCCTTTAGATTGTCTAGCTCGACCAATGCCATCACTTCTTCTAAAAAAGTCTGAAAAACATAATAGAACGTAGGTTTAAATTAAGATAATTGAGCTATGCATTGTTCACAAAAGTATTACAAGTCTTACCATCTTTTCCTCGTTGCTGACTTCTTTAGGGAGCCTAAGGAAAGCTGAGTAAATCAAAGATTCTTTGACAGTGACTTGCGGTGAATGGATATCATTTTGTTCACAGTAACCAGAAATTCTTGCAAAAGTTTCTTGTTTCTTAGGGAAGCCAGAAATTCTAATATCACCTTCAATGTGGCCACCTGTCTTTCTTCCTGCTAAGACATCCATCAAAGTCGTCTTCCCAGCCCCGCTGACTCCCATTAGAGCTGTCAAGACCCCGGGCCTAAATGCACCAGTTACTTCACAAAGTAGCTGAAGCCTGTCCTCTTTTACTCCTTCTTCTTTCATTTCCTGTCATAGTGAACAAAGTTAGCTGGGCAAGTAATGAAGGTAGATGATATAAGTTAGCTATAGATGTAGGACTAAAATCAATTATTTATTTATAAGCTATGTGCCATGGTAATTAATTGCACCAATAAAGTTTATGATCACAAGTTACAACTAAACACTTGAATGAATATGCTTGAAGGAAATGAGTGAAATAGGGAACAGTAAATATTACCGGGGGCATGTCCACAAAGTAATTTACACTATCGAAGGACATTGCAAGGGGAGTGAAAGGAAGAACCATTCCTCTCTTAGGGGCAACACCATTGGGTACTTCAAGAGTTGAATCAGGATTTCTACTTAGTCCATTGGCATTAGATCGACTGCTCATCCGCTGGATTTCCATTTCTCCTACAACATTTTTGGGTCCAATAAATTGCCAACATTGTTTTGTTTCTTACTTAAATTGTTTCCATCAAAAGAAGTTAATGATTGAGAAAATGAATCTTTCTTTGATTGGGGTCTTCTAAGTCTTGGTTCTTCCTTTGATTGGTCTGCTTCTATTTCCTCTGCTACTTCTTCAGATATTATGGCTTGTGGCTTTCCAAGAGCTAATTTATTAAAACAAGAACATGAGAAATCGTCACCAGAAAACAACAAATATAAGAATAAATTCCTTGTTAGACATTAAAAAACATTCATTCTTACGATTTAGGTACGTAAGTGTGAGGGTGTAAAGGATGTTGAACAGAACTGCAAACCCCAGAACAGCTGCAGAGCCAATCCAAAACCAGTTTTTGTCAGGGACAACATCAAATATCTCAAGCACTGCTACACCCAATGCGGTAGCATTATCTGAAGCCTGCAGCACAATGAAGCTCATTTCAGAAGTTATATTTTGTTAGCTTGCCATGATGTATGAAAAGATGAACTGAAGTATATCATACCATTTTGTTCATCCACCTCGGAGCAAACATTTCTTTTACAGTAATAGCATTGAAACAATATGTCATAGGTGAAACCCAGTAGCCCCACCGCCACCACTTCGGAATTTCACCTGTCACAAATTAATCACTCAATTTTGGTTGGTTTTTTTCTTTTCTTTTTATTACATTGCAAACTATGTTTAATATTCAGTTCCATACCAACCTCGAGGAATTATGAAACCCCCAAGCATTAAAACAATGAGCAGAACGAGAGACCCGCCAGTGTTGGCGATGATCGTGGTCCTGCAGACTCCAGCAATAAGCCAAAACATCCCTGAAGCCATCTGTTGCAGCAGAAATATCAGCAGTAGTTGCTGGAAAAACCTACAAATATTTTGATAGCTGCAATTAGTATCCTAACAAGTAACAACCATTTTAACAGTGTCTTAAGTGTGTGAAACATTCAACCCATGTATGCTAGTAAGCCAAAAAGGGTATATATAGAAACATGAGGTTACAAATGAAATTAAGAAGACAAATGTAATAATACCTGCTGGCTTCAGGTGCAAATCCGATGGTGTAATATGTAATGCCCACCCAAACAGTGGATTCAAAAAGAGATATAGGAATCCGGAGTAGGACAGATGGGAGAGTGAAAGCCCAAGCAGGTTGGAAAAGAAGGTCTCTATGCTTGTAAAATACAGGGAGTCTTGCAATGACCAATGTGAGCTCAGCATAACCACTGAACATGTTATGGATTATGGAATACAGAAGTGCACCAATATATAGTGCACCATCATCTTCATTTCTAGTGTGCATTTGCGTCCTCAAGAATAGGGTCGTGACTACAAATGCCGCTACAATGCTTTGGACCATCTTGAAAATGTAAACAAAAGAGTTCCTCTTTATAAGTAGCCATTCCTTGTCAAAAGAGGCCTTCAGAAATTCCATTCTGGGTAATGAATATCTTTTGACTACAAGGGCTGCTCCATGGCCTTGGGCCTTATTGAAAGGGATTGAGAGCTCATTCTCAAGACACATGCCGACATGGAATTGCTTGAATCGGTTTGCGAATTCAGTGACGGTTATGTATTGGTATGGCTTGCTTCTGTCCCCCCAATATTGCTCTTGGTCTTTCCTTGAGGTAACCTGAAAAACTTGAACAAAGTTATGGTTTGTAAAATTGGCTTAGACAAAGGGGAAATGGCTAAAGCACACTAATGGCTTGCTGGGATGTAACTGGACTAGCAAAGGACCAAAGCATTTTAATGGGCTAGAAGATGTATCACAACCTACATACCATAGTAAAGTGAGACTGATCATAGTTTTACCTCTTGCAGGAAATCAGCAGTTCCCTTTCTCTCGGGGCATCGAAATCCACAGCTCTCAAAGAACTCCAATACGTGCTCACGTGGCCCTTGGTAGATGATCTTGCCCTCTGATAAGAGGATGATATCATCAAAGAGATCAAACGTCTCAGGAGCAGGTTGGAGTAGGGACATCAAGATTGTGGCCTCGGTAATGTGTACGATTTGCTGCAAGCACTTAACTATTTGATGTGTCGTGGAGCTATCAAGACCCGTTGATATCTCATCCATGAACAATGTTTTTGTAGGCCCAACAATCATCTCACCTATATTAGAGCATATTTATTGCACTTTGTCAACACATTATAAACATTGTTGTGCATTTGAAGTAATTTTGAAATATGAATTCATTCTAAAAAGTATTCCTAATTTGAGGATTAAGGTTGTTATTCAAAGTGTAACAAGCACAAGTACCTGTGGTAACTCGTTTTCTTTGCCCGCCAGATATCCCTCTCTGCATCTGATCTCCTACAAGGGTATCCTTGCATATATCAAGCCCCAACATCTGTTTCGTTTGATAAAAAAATATAATGATACGTTACATATAATGATTATACCAATTAGATAAAGTCACACTTCTTCACCATTTCAGTGGTTTCTGAGAATAAAAAAGACTTTCTAAGACCTTGTTTAAGTATATTTCTGTTTGAAAAATGGTTGTCACAGGCCAAAGTGCAAGGAAATAAAAGAGGCTAACCAGCAGTGAGTAAAGTTGGTGAAAAATTAGAAAGAAGAGTGATTTCATGTTGTTGGGATTTACTTACTCTGAGAGTATAGTCAGTAATGAGACTGCTCTCAACTCCTCCCTTTGAAGTAGCCTGAAAAAATAAACCAGAAATTCAGATATATATAAGCTTAAAAAATCAATGCATTGAAGGCAGGTTTAGTGAAATCGCATAAATATATACCTTAATGAAAAGGTCTACTTCTGGCTCTGGAAATATTCCTGCCTCCTTCTCTCTTCTAGCAAGCTCAGAAAGAAGTTCTATGGCCCATGCATAATTTTTGTTAAAATGCTACCAAATTCATTTCCAAAGTTACATATAAATGAAGAGAGTTACTTCAATAATGGATTATGATATGATTTGGTTTGGTTTAGTGGCAGTTACTTACCATATCTCGTCCCAACCCCTTGGCACCTTGCCGAAAAGTCTAGAGTTTCTTTGACTGTCAATTCTCCCATATGAACATCATTTTGGCTAATATATGCAGATGTCTTCTGTGGCACAAATTCATTCAGCCTATATCCATTGTAAGTGATTTCTCCTCTAACCTGTTCCACAGATCTCATGGCTAATTAAAGACTCAGATTGAAAAATTGTTTGAAAATGTTTTTATATTATAGAATAACAGGTCAAGCTAATGATAAATAAATTAGTTCAAATAACACGGTGGAGCTGAGGACTGACCTTCAAGCTTGGGTCCAACTTCCCAGCTAATGCCAGCAAAACGGTTGTTTTCCCTGAAGATGGGGGGCCTAATAGAAGGGTCATCCTACAACAAAACATGAATAAAGATTATCCAAAATGACAAATTATTGGCCAAAATTCGAAAATTATGACAACAAAATGTTATGGTAACTCTCAGTCGGTACTCGGTTACCAACCAAACTGAAACCACCAGTAGTAACTTCAATTATGCACTGATTAGGATCATGTAATGAATAATTTGTACACACATTTTTTTTTTTCCAATAGTTTCTAGGAATAATGAAAGCAAGTAACTATTTAGTGAAATTGAATTTTAAACCCAACCCCTAGCAACCTAAAAGCTGCTATCATATGATGTACCTTACCTTGATGGTTTGATAATGCCAGAGGCATCCTTGAGAATTGTTAGATTTGTTCTCTTAGCCATTTTGATCCCTATTAAACCAAGAGTTGATTCTGCGATGTTCCGAGTCACATTTGGGAGGGTGGGAATAGCTCTGGTGCCAACATGGCAATTGGCTTCCACTGTCAAATGCTCAAACCTAACTTCCACTGTGGGAAGTTTGATCCCAACCCTGAAATCAATTACAACATGAGCAAATAAATAAATTATTAATTCCATGCACTTTTTACGCAAAAGTTTATTAGGGTAAAGGGAAAACACATGTCGAATTTTTTTAACAAAATTAAGTCGTTGTTCTAGTAAGCTAGAGGCCTAAAATCGCGAAAAGTTAGAAATTACACGTACCAAAGTAGAACTTCGGCCAAACCACAGAGACCAAAAACTATCATTTGGCCGAAATGAACAATATTTCCACATGTTCCATGTCTATTGGATGGTACACCAGCCACGGGGTGTACCCGAACATGCAAAAATTACTATGACAATAATCTTTTAGCCGCCTAAAAAGATTGTAACAAAACCTAAAATATTCAGTTTAGAACAAGAACAAGAACTTAAGAGAGACAGAACAAGAACTTACTTATCAATTCTACTTCTGAACATTTTCAAGAACCTCTCATTATCTTCTTCTGCAACCTTAAAAGTGGTGTCAATAAATGTTTGACGGTCGGCTATGTTGAGCTTCAGAACGTTCACTTCCTTGTGTATGACTTTGTTGGTCTTGTTTCCTTGAGCATCATCATCATCGGTTTCGACGAAGGACTTGATGATGCTTGTTCTTAACCGATTATATGTTGGCAATTTCTCAATGGCTGCCCATATCAGAGCTTCTTCGTCTTCATCCATTCGAATGTTTCGTCGAGAGGGCGTGGTGCTTAAAAACACATCCTCCATGCTCACCCCCCTGCTTTCTGCTTCTTCTTCTGCTCAAGCTATGGTAGATTTCTGTTGAAGAACCTTTGGCTTTCTCTATTCCTTCTATTTTATTTCTTTTTTTAATTTCCTTGCCTGAAACCAAATAAATATAGAGGAAATGGAACTTGCCCAGATCATAAATTAAGAAACTTGATGGCTAGATTGCTCCAATTTTTGAAAAAATAATTGAAATATATGTTCAAAAAACTGAGGTTGATGTAAGTGGTGAATTAAATTGGCTATAGAAATACAGCATTTCAATTGAAATGAGACCACTTACTGGTTTTCTGCACTTTGTCAGTTCAAATTCTTGGAAATTAAAATATCTCAGTTTTGCCGGTGATGCAGAGGACTGGTGCAATGCAATGCAATGCAAGACCCTCTGCTCTGCTCTGCTTGGAAAAGTTTGTGCCTATTTAAACATGCACAAGAGAAGAGAGCAACAATTTTCAATTTGATTATTTTCTTTTAATTTAAGAGACTGTTGGCATAATTTCTGGACTGCCTCAAAAGTATTCAAATTACATAAGAAGTTGTGCACTGCAATTCCACTTGGTGGCTTCCATTGGCTTGTCCATGTATATATATTAAAGGCTTTTATGTTGCACTGCATGGTTGCAATGTGTCAAAATTACATATTCCATGTCACATTACAAATCCATCCTTTCAAGTTTCATACATGATTCAATGCATTTTGCATCACCAGATTTGCGACCAATTAATTTTTTTTTTTTTAAACATGAAACAAATTTACAAAGAAAATCTTCGGGGGATCTTATAACCATAGATATCAAAACTAGTTCCATGTATAACAGAAAAAAGAAAAATACAAAACCAAATTAGAAGGATTTGAATAAACATATCCCATCTTTGCTAAATTAGTAGCTACCATATTAGCTACAAAATCAAGTGACGAAATCTTCTTCTTTATTTGTTAAGGTCTTGTAATTTCTTTCCTTTTGTTTTGAATTTATTTCTTTCTTCATATTGTGAATGTTGTAGAATTTTTTTCCTTTTTCAACTTTGAGATATTTTCTTTGTCCAAAAAAAAAAACTTCGAGATATTTTTATCTTTTGAATTGTTTTTTTTTTTTATACATTAAAACGCATTTGACATTGGCACATGAATACTTGATTCTTAGCTCACATATTAGTTGTAGGTAATCTGCATGACAATATTGCAGAAAGTTTTGGTGACTTTGAACTCTACACAAACATTGTTTAATTTGATTGCAACACTTTGTCACCTCTTCATCAACTTTTCATATATGTGTTTGCAATGTGTAGTTTTGGCTGGTAAACAAGAAAGTCATCTACACAAAGTCATCAGGCTTTACCAAATCTTTATTATTCAGTGGACCCCAAGGGTCTCAATTTATATTTGTTGAATTCCATGTCACTTGCAATTGAATTGTGTTGTGTTGTGTGTGGGAATATTTTTGGTAATTTGAGAATTTATTTTATTTTATTTACATGTATTATGACTAGATCTGCATGACCCAAAATGCTGGTCAACAAAAGTCATCGTCATCATAAAAGGCATCTTTAATTCCCAAGGGGAACAATTCAATTTAGAGGCCTAGATAGTTTCCTCATTATTTAGGTTGCCATTAATCTTCTTTTATTTCAATTATTGTCCGTAATCTTTGATTTGATTTGATCATTAGATAAATGGTTAGAGCATCTCCAACAGTAGTTAGGGCTGGGCATCTAAACCGAAATACCAAAACCATACCCGAACCATACCGTACCATACCGATTTCATACCGTTTCATTCGGCATGAGGAGATATTCGGTGCGATACCGTACCGTACCATGAGAGTATGGTATGGTAGTGGTACCAAGTATTTGGTACCGGTCAATATCGTACCGTACCGAAGTTCAATACCATATCGTACCGAAGTATAATTTTTATTTTTAAAGTGTTGTGAAAACTAGAGAGAACTTGTTCTCATCAAGATAAGAACAAGAATCTGTATGTAAAAATAAACCAAGCATGCAACTTTGGCTTTGTTACTATTTTAATAGTTTCCATTCTCAGCTTTGTTAAAAATTGACTGAGCTTTGTTATTGGGTGTGAGGGTCTTTTCGTTCCAGCAGCCTGACGAATGGGCTGGGCTGCCGTAAGGAGCGAAAATGGGTGAAATTACCCCCTGTGTCTGAGTTCAAAGATCAAGCCCCAAGAATGGTTCGAAAGGACAGTGAAGCCTTAGGAAACACCCCGGTTACCTTCACCAACAAAAACAACGTCAGCTTACAGATAGATTTTTAACTTGGCATGAGAAGCTTGTGGCATGGGAGCAAAACCATCATGAGTTTAGCATAAACAGAGAAAGGGCTGTGAATTCCTATGAGAAACAAGGGTTCTAAGGAAAGGGAAGTGATTCTAAGAAGGTTGGCTAAGGGGGGAGAGAGATGGGAAGGAACGATGGGTGGTTTAAGTAATTTCCAGCAGCTTGACGAAAAGTCTATCAAGATCTGGAATAACTTGCCAGAAGAGGGAAAATGAGGGAGAAGGGTGAATAGAGCACAAATTTGTTGGGTTTTGCAGGTGAGAGAGGAAGCTTGCTCTCCAAATGTGGATTGGATTTTTGTTGGGTAGAAGAGGCCTCATTTTATAGTCGCTGGGAGCTATCTTTTCCCAAGAAACCCTAATGATTTCTATCCAATTTGGCCAAGCTTTTTCCTTCATTTCTCCTCCCTACCGTTGACTTATCCTATCCTGGTAAAAATTCCCTCTGCCCAATCTCACGAAATCAGGGATTTTTGGGAGCTTAATGCTCTTCCTGCAGCTGCCTCAGTGGAGAACTCCCATTTTCAGCTATCTTTCTTCCTTCTTTTCTCCCCTTTTCCATGGCTAGATCTGATGGAGGGAAAAGAAATGGGTAGGTACACTGGTCTGAAGGGTGCCTTGGCTCCTAGCAACCTATGCACGCTAATACCCCATGGTTCTTTGTGTGCTCCACCTTGATGTTCGTTATTTGCCCATGTGCTGGAGCCTCCCAGCAGCTCACACCTATGGATAGCTTTGGTTTTGTCTCCAGCCATGTGTTGGAGGCTTGTAGATATTTTCTTGGTTTGCTAGGGCTTTCTTAAGGTGATAGGTAAGCCTACTAAGGGAATGGGCTAATCTTTTCAAGTGATGGGCTATTTTATTAAGGTGATGGGCTAATTTTTCTAGAGTATTGGGCTTCCTTTTTCTCTCTTTTTTATGCTTACCCACATATTTGGGCTCAAGAAATGGGCTTGAGTTTTGGGCTCCCAAGAAACCCGAAACTTCCATTTCTCGGCTCATCAATGGGCCTAATGAAAGCTCGTTACCATCCATACCACAACCCACTCAGCAAGCCCCAGGTATTTGCGTGGCTTGGGCCCACTTAAGCTTATGTGTGGCTAGATGTAAAATAATGATCTTCCGCTTGGTATGGCATGTTGATTGGCGTGCTCGAATTTTATCCCCTTTAAAAAGGGACATTAGGCTCGACATGATAATTAGCATGGGCTCGTAGAGCTAGTTCATTTTATAGGCTCATCTCAATTCTTAGCGTGATAGATTATTTATTTGGCATGACACGTGGATTGTGGCTCGTGCGAGCGTGTATGACGAACTCTTGCATGCTCCAAACCGAGTCTTTTCTTAATAAGGTGTTGTACTGGGCTGAGAATTTATTCGGGCCCAACTGTGGATTTTTTGGACCTCAACATTGGGTATGGAGTTGCATAGGACTCGAAGATTCTCCTTCACATACAAAATCTGCATTTTTTTTGTTAATTACATCATGAATTGGTGCCTGATGTTTTTATTGGTTGCTGCTCTATTTTTATTGGTTGCTGCTGCTATATTTTTATCCATCTCAATGGCCACCTGAGCTAAATTGGTTGCTGCTCTGTGAGGTTTTTATAAATTGGTGCCTGTTGTGGTATATGCATGTGAACCAGAAGCTTTATCTTGGGGTTTATTTTGATTTTTGTTAATTCTTTGTTATTATTGTTTGGATTGTGTTTGTAATTTTGTAAGCCATAAGGCATAATTATCACTTATTTCGGTTTGTAAGCCATAAGGCATGAGTTTTAACCATTTGGATTTGGTTTATTTGGATATTGAATCTGTTGAGGGATATTGATTTGGTGGATTTGGATATTGAATCTGTTGATGGATATTGATTTGGTTTTATTAGGATTTGGATATTGAATTTGTTGAATATTTGAATCTGTAACTTAGGCATCACATATTTTGGTGAATGAATAGGTCATTGAATATTGAATTGGTTCATTTTTGAGTTGTGTTATTTTGATACTGAAATGGTACCGTACCATACCGATACCGATTTGGTACGGTATGGTACGATACCAACTTTGGCAAACTATAATCCCATACCGAACTATACCGGTTTTAATTTCTGGTATTGGTAGCGGTACGAGCCCAATACCGTACTGTGCCCACCCCTAACAGTAGTAGCAAATTAAACTCTTTAAATTAAAGCTTATTGAATTATGTGGCAATTTGAAAAGATTTATTTGCTACTTGAATAATTTTTGCTCCAACAGACTCTTAAGCAAAATGTCACCTTAAGTTTTCAAAATCCATGATTTCTCATCTAACCTTAACGTCATCCAATTTTCCATCCATTTTCAAGGGTATTTTAGTCTTTTCAATATGTAAACCTTTGTGAAGCTTCCATTTCAAAATAAATAAATAAATAAAGGGACAGAAGTCAAGAACAGTACTTTTACGCCCTAAACAACAGTTAGACTTTAGAGTTTCGATTTTTTTTAAAGGCATATATGGGAGTTGTCAGAGACATTGGGATTGATCGTGACTCTACGCTATAAAGTCATTGGGTACCCTCCAAACTACAGTAAAGCTTTGCTTTCTACTTGGGCATCTCTGAAGTTTTGCTTTTTATATGACAATGAGAGATTTGATTCATGTGATCCTTTTTTCTTTCTTTATGTTCTTTTGCTTTGTTTTTGTGCTTTGTGTTAGCGTGTATTGTCCTTTTGCAAGTCAATTACTTTGTTGTGTGGGGATGTGTCGGTTGCAACTATTATATTTTATATAAATGTTAATTTGTGTGTTTGTGTAGGTGACTGTGATTTATTTACCATGGAAATTCACCATGGGGTTCACTTTATAGCGCGATGTGATGGGAACTTGAAGTATGTTGCTAGGCATGTGGCTTTGTAAGATCCCACATCGACCAACGGAGAGGGGGTGATGTGCCTTATATGTACACACCCGCATCCATCTAGCACGAGGCCTTTTGGGAGCTCACTGGCTTTAGAGTCATGGGAACTCCGAAGTTAAGCAAGTTGGGGGCTAGAGTAATCACAGGGTGGGTGACCCACTGGGAAGTTGCTCGTGAGCTCCCAGAAACAAAACCGTGAGGGCAGAGAGGGGGGCCCAAAGCGGACAATATCGTGCTACGGCGGAGCCGATCCCGAGATTTGACA